GACATGGCTCTTCCAACAAGCGGGATTGGCCTAGGGGAATTTTTAGTGGGGTTTTAAGAGTAATTTTAATTGACATAGGCCACAGTAAATATTTCTTTTTAATTAGGTTTTAAACTGGGTATTTTTATTGTTGTATCTGTTTTACAAGGCTGTCAGCCGCCCTGAGTCCGTAAGGAGAAGGGCGGGATAAAAATTAAATTAAATAAATTAAATTAAATAAATAAGAAAGAGAAAGAAAGAAAGAAAGAAAATTGTTTGTTCCCCATCAAATGATGTTCATGAACCTGGAGATGACGTAAGGCTGTCATGACTAATAATTCAGGGAAAACATAAAACGCTTTCTATATTTGTCTGCTTCCCTTTCTGAGCTAGCGGCTGTCAGCTGCCGTCAGGATGCTCCAGCTCTCCACCCAGCTGACGAGTACACCTCCAAGAGTTTTCTAAATTAAAATAGTCGGAGCTGCACTGCCTCTCCAAAGTTGTTACTAGGATTAAACTCTTCCATGAGCCAGTCCTTCATCCCTCATCGTGAGTCATTCCCTACTTTAGCCACGTCTCCTCCGAGAGGCTTCCGCACTCGAGAGAAGACAACGGTCCGATCGGAAACTTGGGAGAACGACTTCTTTCCCTTCCTTCCTTCGCTCCGCGTTCATTGGAGCAGAGCTGGAGAGAGAGCAGGGCTCCTAAACTGGCCCCTTTCTGGCGTTTTGACCTAACAGCCAGCCTCAAATAGATGCCCCTCACTCGGCCTAGTTGTAGATGCTGAGCTTTGAAATCTAACCGCGTCCTTCGTTGTGGAACATTCCCTTAAATGGACCTTCTGATTTGGTATAGGTAGCCCTCGACTTAACCACGGTTCAATTCGAAGTCGCAACGGCCCTGGGAAAAAATGGACTTGTGACATTTTTCACACCTAGGACAATTGCAGCATTGCCTGTGGTCCAAATTCTGATGCTTGGCAGGGGACTCGTATTTATGACAGTCGCAGCGTCCCCCGGGGTCACGTCTTCCCCTTTTGCGACCTTCGGACAAGCAAAATCCATTAGAGGGGAAGCCAAATTCACTTAACAACTGTGTGACTAGCCCAGGAGTGGGCAACCTTGGCTCTTTTATGACTCGTGGACTTCAACTCCCAGAATTCCTGAGCCAGCCATGCTGAGGGGAAAGGGAGAGGTTGCCATGCTGAGCCATGCTGGCTCAGGAATTCTGGGAGTTGAAGTCCTCCCATCGTCAAGTGGCCAAGGATGAAAAACACTAAGTCTAGTCCAGTGGCAGGCCACCTTGGCTCTTTTATGACTGGTGGACTTCAACTCCCAGAATTCCTGAGCCAGCCATGCTGAGGGGAAAGGGAGAGGTTGCCATGCTGAGCCATGCTGGCTCAGGAATTCTGGGAGTTGAAGTCCTCCCATCGTCAAGTGGCCAAGGATGAAAAACACTAAGTCTAGACCAGGGGTAGGCAACCTTGGCTCTTTTATGACTGGTGGACTTCAACTCTCAGAATTCCTGAGCCAGAATGGGGGAACTATGGCCCCTTCATGACTCGGGGACTTCAACTCTCAGAAATCCTGAGCCAGCCATGCTGAGGGGAAAGGGAGAGGTTTCCAAGCTGAGCCATGCTGGCTCAGGAATTCTGGGCCAGCATGAGGGAAACTTTGGCCCCTTCATGACTCGTGGACTTCAACTCCCAGAATTCCTGAGTCAGCATGGCTCAGCTTGGAAACCTCTCCCTTTCCCCTCAGCACGGCTGGCTCAGGAATTCTGGGAGTTGAAGTCCACCAGTCATAAAAGAGCCAAGGTGGCCTGCCACTGGACTAGTTTAACAATCGCAGTGATTCACTTAACCACTCGGGCAAGAACGGTCTCCTAAAAACGGGGCCAAGCTCCTGTAACAAATGTCTCACTGAACAACAGAAACGTTGGGCTGGTTGCAGTCGTACGTTGAGGACCGCCTGTGTTTGAACGTGATGAATTCTCATTTGTGGTGGTGGTGGGATTTCAAAACGGACATCTTTGACCTGCTACTTTTGTTGGCGTAGGGTCCAGGTTGCCGACCGGCCGGAGACCGTCTTCCTCCTGAGCGGAAACGATCCCGCGATTCATCTTTACAAAGAGGTGAGGCCTCCGGGTGGACGTTGCTTCTCGGGGCCTTCTAGCCACTCGCCTCTATGGTGCCTCTGGAGTTTTCCTTTGGGTCCTTTTTTTTTTTTTTCAAAGAAACCCCAGCCTTCTACTCCCTTAACAAACGTCTCACTGAGCAACAGAAAGAGTGGGCTCAATTGTGGCCATAAGCTGAGGACTGCCTGTACCTTATTTATTTTTTTAAATTTATTTATGATTTTTGCAGAATGAAGAGCTCCATCAATTTGAGGAGCAGCCGGTCGAGAATCTCTTTCCAGAACTTAAGGAACTTCCAAGCAAGTAGGCAACTCGGTTTGTTGTTAAGGCGTGAGGTGGGGGCAGAATGGGGATTTGGGAAGAGGCCACAGGTCGGGACATCATCATCATCATCATCATAAAGTTGGAAGGCAGCTTGGAGGTCTAGTCCAGCCCCCTGCTCAGGCAGCAAACTACACCATTTCAGACAAATGGCTATCCAGTCTCTAATAATAATAATAATAATAATAATAATAATAATAATAATAATAATAATAATAATAATAATAATAATAATAATAATAATAATAATAATAATAATAATAATAATAATAACAACAACAACAACAACAACAACAACAAACAACAAAACAACAAAATTAAAAATAATAACAATAACAATAATAATAATAATAATAATAATAAAGTTGGAAGGGACCTTGGAGGTCATCTAGTCCAACCCCCTGCTCAGGCAGGAAACCCTATCCCATTTCGGACAAATTGCTGTCCAGTCTCTTAAAAACTTCCAGTGTTGGAGCATTCACAACTTCTGGAGGCTGGTAGTTCCACTGGTTAATTGTTCTAACTGTCAGGAAGTTTCTCCTTAGTTCCAGGTTGCTTCTCTCCTTGATCAGTTTCCATTTGTTGCTTCTTGTCCTGCCTTCAGGCGCTTTGGAATGTTATACATATACACATACATACATATACACACACACACACGCAAATACAAATAGACACACACACACACACACACACAGGAATCTCTCTCTATATATATATGTGTGTTTTAAAGAGAGAGAGAGCAGCTATATTTATTTCAACATCATCCTAGTGTTTTTCCCACAGGTGCAGGTCCACCAGTCATAAAACAGCCCAGGTTGCCTACCCTTGGATTAGTGTATCCCATTTTCCTCCCTCCTCATTCCCAATTTCCTCCTTCCCTTCCTCCTTCTCTTTTTTCTCCATCCCTTTCTCTTTCCTTTCCTCCCTGCCTCCCTCCCCCCCAACCTTTCTCTCAACGATCCTTCCTGCTTTGCAGCGTGCTCTGGTTGGACGTGTACAACATTCCCAATTCGGGGCAGCGGATTACCGCTTTTGGCTGCCAGAGCGGCTACATCCGGGTCGCTCAGGTTGAACCAGCCAAGCGGGGTAAGACCCCCTTCTCCCCCCCCCCCCCGCCGCCCTCTTCCTCCGGGGCTGACCTCCGGGTCTTCCTCAAGGCTCGGACGGCGGCCTAGTAAGTCAGGGACGGTTGGATCGATTGACTGGTGACCCTTCTCTTCTTCCGGATTGAAGCGGTGCTGCAGAGCTGGAGCATCCAACAAGATGGCCCCATCTCCAAGGTCCTGGTTTTTGCTCTACCAAGCGTCAGCCAGCCAGAGGACCCCTCTGGGGTTGTGTCTTCGAAAGGTGAGATGGGAAGGGAACGGGGAATGGGCGCTGAGAAGGGAGGGTCTCCCCCTTGGCGGCCCATAGGAACCATGTAAACCAGGGGGTCTTCGAACGTGGCACACTGGCTGAGGAATTCTGGGAGTTGAAGTCCAC